GCTGCTGAAGGACTTGGGTGTTCCTTTTCTTTTACCATCCTTATAGAAAAGAACAGCTGAGGGAGACTCAGATGCACGGAGCTTCCCCACATGTGATTTTAGTTGAGGTGAGCTACTTAGGCTCCTCCTGTCCAACTCCATCAGCCTCAGAGGCCCATGATAGCTGGACTCTGATGAGGACCTTGAAGAGGAAACATTAACATCTACATGGACTTTACTTTCAGTTTTCTTCTTGAATTTTAGAGTGAGGAACCTCTTAAAGGAAGATTTCTTTTTCTTGGAATACTTATCAGGTGAGTCATTCTCTATCAAAAGTGAAGGGGAACTTTTAGTGATTGGCTTTTTGGTGATGTAGGCGAGTTCAAAAGGAGGTGGTATATCAACAACTGAGGATGGCGTAGATACGCCACATGACGAAAGATGATTTCTCTGGGAAAAACTACCTGAGGAACCATTGACACAAGGCAAAGACAAGTTGTCTTCTGTCCTTTTTATTCTACCATCATCCAGTACACAGCCATCATTTTCTCTGTAAACAGACACAGGTATCTCTCTTCCTTCAACAGAGTAAGATCGAGGATACAAAATGAAACGTCTTGACTTGGTTGGTAATGCCCTGTTGGCTTCCACTGGTTTTCCTTCCACTGAAAATAAATTATTGCTTAAATCTTCTGTCCCAGAGCCATTGCGGGAAGATGGTAAATCAGTTTCAGGTCCATTTTCTTCTGGAACTGTTTCTGGGACATAGCCTGGCATTTTCCCAGACAGCGACCGTGTTCTAGTGACAATGCTTTTACGATCAATGGGCAGCAAGTTGTTTTCACCATCCATGCCTAATTCATCCCTTTTGCTCTGATCAGCTCCTAAATCAGTCTGCCCATCATGAGCAATTTCATTTTCTGCGGGAAGCACATAAGGGTCATCTAGGGAATCACTGCTAGTTTCTCTTTCCTCTGATTCTTCAGGCACAATGACCACTTCAGGGACTGCTAGATTTTCATGCAAGACATGTTTGGTCCCACATTCTACATCCATTTTGCCATGCTTACAGACTTCTAACTCTTCCTCAAGTGGGACCTGTTCAGCTGGACTTGGGACACTTTTGCTGAGGCTGTTTGCTTCCACCTTATTGTCTTCAAGTTGCAGCTCATCTGACTTAGAGGTTTCCACAATACTTTCACCATGCTCTTCAACAGCTGCATCTTCCAGCTCTGGCTCCATCCCTGGACTACTAGGTAGATTATCAGATATCACACCATCTACATCCAGAGAAGTCCCTTCTGTTTGAAGATTCTCATCTGAATGCTCCATGGATACTTCCTCACCACATTCATTCTCACAAGGAGCAATTTGGCAGCCATCATCCATATTCTCTGCATTCACAGTTTCTTCTTCCCCTTTCCCAGAGTCTTTCCTTGCTTCAAAGGCTACCTCTGATGTCTTCTCCTCACTTCTCCCCTCAGTGATCTGGCAGCCATCACTGGCATTTCCTGTGTTTGTATTATTGTGCTCATCTGGGTCTGCTTCCTCCTCTTCAGCTGCTGCTTCATGGATGGACTCTCCTAAACCATTTTCAGCACTGGGTTCGTCTTCACACGGTTCTAAGCCAGGAGCTGTTTCTTCACTGGCCTCATCGGGGAGCATGTCAGGGCTTGCACAGTCATCATTTTCTAACTCCCCTTCCATGTTCAAATCAAGCTCTGCATGCACACTCTGGTCACCATCATGGGCTAGACATGCATCTCCCTTTTCTAAAATCTCAGGTAGTTCCCCCTCCTCCTGCCCTACCTTCTCACAACCTGGGATTGATTCATCTGTGGGCAGTGGCAGTACAATGGTATCTTTACAGATACCATCCATTAGTTCCTCATCTCTATTCAAAATGTTATCACTGTCAGTCTTACAATCACTATTGTCCTTAACCAGTTCCAGGTTGTTAGAAGCTTCCTCCTTGATTTTGGTTTCACTACAATCACCTACAACGTCCTCATCTTCATCTACATTCTTGGAAGCATCATTATGCCCATCAGGGGCATCTGAGGACTCCTCACAAAGTGCTTCGGACTGGTCATAGTCTCTAGTTGACTCTTCAGCATCTGGTCCCATTGGTTCACCAATATCTGAAGAGTTACGGTGTTCATCTTCAGTGACTTCTTGATTACTGGTATCCTCATCATTAGCAATGTTATCCTCTTCCTTCTCTACTTCTTCTGGAGTTTCTGAGACTTCATTTTCCACAGAGGAACCTAGATGCCGATCATGCTCATGTTCCAAGTCATTACAGTCTTTGCTAGTCAGCTGAGCTTCAGGAACTACAATGTATTCGTTATCTGCCTCAGATTCTGGGCAATCAGCACTGCATTGGTTTCCTTCATACAGCTCTCCATCAAGACATACCAGTTTCCCATTTGAGCATTTATTTAAGTTATTGTTGGTATAAACGCTGGATTTACCCTCAGTGTCAGCTGAGAATTTTGGCTTGGGAGCAATAGGTGGTTTGGGACCCCTAGACATAGAGTTTGGGTTATGAAGGATATCAGCCCTTGGCAGTGAAGGAGAAAATTTGGAGACAGCTACTGGAGAAAGATGACCAATAATCTTTGGTTTCGGTGCTAGTGGTGGCTTTGTGATTTCTGGAGAAAAGAGAGAAAAGCCATGTTAGTCATCTTGGTTTTGTATTAAAGCCAGCAGAATATATCCTACAGTAGACTTTATCTTATACTCGTGACTTCTAATGCAGCAGGAGTCCAGCCAATAAAAGGCACAGCTCTGAAAAGAGAACTGAAGGAGCAAAGCATACGCACTGTGCTTCCATGTGGCACTATTGCTATTCCCAGGGAACACGGTTTAAGGTGAAAATTGAACTGAACTGAACTAGATGCAGCCCTAGCACACTTGGGGAGAGAACGACGTACAGCTGCAGAGCCAAGGCTATATCATACACAGATACCTACAAACAGGTAACACTTCCTGCACTCAGAAGTACTGATGACATTAGAGACCTTTTGATGCTGTCCCAGAAATCTGTTTGCCCTAAGATTCAGTATGAACACTTTGATTCAATGATGAAGTGTTTCACTGCAATGACAGAAATGCCTTTCAGCCATAGTAGCTGTTCTTATAGTACAAACACTTTGTAGCAATGATTTTAGTTTCACTATGTAGTTTGCAGAATTTCAGCATTGAAGAACACTAGTTCTACCAACAGATCAAGGTTTAACTCAACCCAGCCAAACTGAAGTAAATACTTGGTGCCCAGCCACACAGTCTTCCCATCATCCACAACCATGGTAAGAAAATATGGAGTTACATTTTGTTTGTCAAAAAACATAATCATGAGGGATAAGATGATTTGCTAAAAGCTTGGCTAATACTTTACATTGATTATGCAGCTGAGCTATAATGCACTGAATTAAATACTTCAACCCAGAACATGAACAGAGTTACTGGTTTAAACTTAAGTTCAGTTTTCAGTGTACAGCTTCTTCAGTCCTTTCTTTAGTGAAAAGATCCTCCATCCTCCTGTAAATGCCAGGACCCCTTGCCTGTACAGTCTTCTCTGAACATCAAAATATACTTTAAAAAAGTGAATTATCTTGCAAAATAAGGCCAGCCAGGGTCTCTAAACTATTTCTAGTAGAAGTGCTGACACATGTGCCAGAGAATTCAAGCAGATTGACAATAAGCTAGATTGAAGCTAGATGAATTAAGTCATATATGGCCATTTTACTCACAGTACAGTTTACATGCCACAGCCATTGCCAGCTGTCTTGATCTTGAAATTAATATTCTTCAAATAACTAAATGAAATGCTGAAAGGCTGCATAAATAGGCAACAATAGAGATCCTCCCTCATGAGATTTTAGATGAGATGAAATACGTGGTGTGAAGAAGCCAGTGTACCAAATGGTTACAGATGGTAATAAGTAAAGAGAAGGGTTTTGCTCTTAGTAATGTTTCCTAGCCATCAATAGGTAATTACATGGTTAATCAATCAGAAATCTCTAATTCTTTTTATAATTTTAATTAACACCTTTTAGTGGAGAAAGAGGAGCTCTCCATTGTGAGGAAAGGCACAGGACAAACTATTTCACCATGAGAGAGATAGGAACAATTCTGTGTGCAAAATCTTCATGCCCTACACATAGGAAAAAAAGGGAGCAGCATCTCAAGAGACACCATTTGGGACATGGTTCCTGTGCAAAATCCTATTCTAAATCATGGTACAAGTTTCAGGAAGTGTAGCTAGTGTGCTGTTATATTTCGAGTATTTTGGAATGCAGACTTTTGACATCTGGAAGTGAAGACAATTTAAATTCCGCTGTGCACCATACTGAAAGTAAAGTAATACTGAATGCAAACTGCTTAAAAATTACCCTCTGATTGTTCTGATATTTGGTGTCATGGTACTTTTCTTATTGTTATCTTAGTCCAGCTGGAGTAATTTGTATTGAACTAATACTGGCATTTTTGTTTGGTTAGACTCTGGGAGATATAAGAGGCTGTTTCTCTGATCTGCTTAACCTTGCTGAAATTTCTTCCAATACTCAGAAGGATGCTGACAATTTGGTATTCTGATGTAGTCAGAAAACAGTCTTTCTAGAATTATGAGACACCAGGGAGATTTCATCTAAGATAAAAACTGAGTCAGTGATAGCTCAGCCCAGAAGGAGTGAAAAGTCTGTTCTAATCAGGCACCTTACTGCATATACTGATTAAGAATTATTCTGTATCTGGAGTTTTATCCAATCCAGCTTCATTTGTGAGAGGCTTAAAACAACTTATGGAAAAGGAGAAAGAGAGAACTGCATATTCACTAGTCTTCAGTACTGTAGTGTGTACTCTTGTTTCACAATATCCACTGCTGCTTTGAGCTGCAGGACATCTGTCTAATTGTTGAAATCACAGAACGGGTAGCTAATCCTTCCCTCCAGATTATTTGGGAAACATTATGTGCCAAACACTTCACCGTTGCTGAAGTACCATTCTTCTATTGCAGCCAGCAGCAAGTCTGCAGCAGTTGAAGGCTGTAGAGTGCTGAAAACTGTTGCCAGTTAAAACCAGGCTGGGAATCGAAGGGGGTTGAGTATCTTGTAAGCCTGGCTCCCCAGCCAGATCTACCTTTTGGATTTTTAAATCAGTTATTGCAACGACTGAACATCCTAAACTAACTTTCTGGTAGCAAAATGCATGAAATTTTTATTAGCTAAAACCGAGTCCTTACACCTTTCCCACCAGAAATCAGCAATGGACCCCTTACTGACATAATTAGGCATTTTTAAGAGTAACTCCAAGAAAGAAATATCACTTTGGAGGTATTCTGCCACTTCCTGCAGTATCTAGCTTTTCCGAGGAATGTCTATCCAAGAGTAGGACACAAATATACCTACTCCATTCCTAGGATGTGACAAAGCCTGAGCGCAGTCTCTGCATTCTCATCCTTGTTCTTGTCAGACGGAGTGTCTGTACTGAAACAGTGAGTAATGAGAAAAAGACTGGACTGTAGAGAATGCCAGGATCTCCCAATCTTTGTCTTATAAACAAATTTGAAATAAAAAAATGTAATGAACCATTTCCTTTATGTAAAATAAAGGACATGCAGACATCCACTTTAAAAAAGAAATATAGCTTAAACATAGTTACCCACTTTTCTTCCAGTAATAATTTTCTATGGCAAAAGCAATCAAGTAATCTTGAGTTTTTCCTTCTGCTACCTTCAGTAACATTGCTAGTGGAAGAGAACTAATGGTAATGGGCCCTGTTCATAGTATTGTAATAACAGGCATTGTGATGTCCTGCTGTTAGCCAGTTGTGCCAGCTACTGGTCACTACTGATTCCTTCCGTAGTTTTTTCCTAACTTCTCTGTGTGTTGATCTTGCCTTTCACGTGGCTCCTTAAACAATTTTTTTATTTTTTTTTTTTTTTTTCTGGCAGGGAGGAGAAGTACAAGTGTTTGTTTAAAAAATGACCCAAACAACTACTGAAAAGAAAGCACCGCTGTTTGCCTTTTATCACTACAATTTCATTCTGCTTCAGTTTCTGCTTCCTTTGCTGTCTCAGCCACTTGAAAGGTTCTGGCTGTAACTTCTAAATGGACACAAAACAACATTGCACCATAAGGAATGTGTATGTTCACAAATAATTGTGCATGTTTATTTTAGGATGTGTTTTATGTCGGAGGGAGACACACCCACCTTATGCTTAAAAGGAAACTCTTAGGGAATAGGAATTTCTTTAGCCTGCTCCTCCCCTTATTGTTCGATGCTTCCTTGTACTGACAAGGACCGCTTCCTCTCCTGACCCACCTTCCTTCAGGCAAACCTGCATTTCAGCATGGTTTCATTCCTGCCATGGCCCATATGAAATTACATTACTCTCCTCCCCTCTGAGTTTCTTAGTAGTGAACAGTAGCCTAGCAGCTCTCCTGGAATGGCAATCAACCCATACAGCCTTCACTGTTCCTTTGAAACAACAAACATTTTGCAGTGGGGTATTGCCTGAAACACTGCAACTACCCACTTTCAAATGTTCTCCAGATTTAGGAATTAGCCTAGCATTTAACTAAGGTGTATAAGGAACCATATCTATCAGCACCCCCTCCCCCATCAAGGAGCAGGTTTGGAGGTGAAGACCTAATTAAACACTGAGGTTTCACATTTACAGGGATGTCTGTAGATATGTCCCAGGCCCATGGTCTTTGATGGTGGACCAAAAAATGACTTGGCTCCACAGTGCAGATACTGGTTCCAGCCTTGGCTGGTGCCACGATCCAGTTCAGGTATCTCTTAAGATGCTGAAACTATCTTTTTCTGACCAACAAACTTTTGTGGACCTGTGTTTACTTCATGCCTTTGGCATTAATTCAACTCAGGCATATCTTAAAACCGGAGTGAGATTGAGGACAGAGGACAGAAATGCAGACAGGATAGTTCAGGGATCTGCAGAGATTTTGGATAGAAGTGACAATGCAGGTGGAGGGACCACATTGCATCAGTGGCATGAGACTGCACCAAACCTAGAATCCCAGTAGAAACCAATGCACACAAGTCCTGTCTGTCACTGCTTCTGCCTAGGAAGAAGGGATTGAAATCCATAGATGGAAAGTGCCTGAGAAACAGGAGGGGAGGTAGAGGGAGAATATCCAGACAAGGGCATCAGAAAGTCTTGTTGAGCTCTGATCAGGACCTGTATAATTACTCTCAGGTATATCAGAATAAAGTTAAAACTTGTCTTCTAGAAGGCTTTGGTGTGAAGTCAACAAAAGGTGGTCTATATACCTTAATATCACCCTTATCTTATTCCTGTAATGAATTGCTCATTTTTAAAATAAAGCCCTTATTTCCAGGTAGGGCTGCCTGGCTTTTATCTCCAGCTTCTATCTCCAGCATTTGTGACTGTTTCTTCCACTGGGTTAAAGATCCTTTTATTATTCAGTGTTTCTCTAGGGAAAGCATATATTTGAGGGACATGGTTTAGTGGTGGTCTTGGCCATGCTAGGTTTATGGTTGGACTCGATGATCTTAAAGTTCCTTTCCAACCTAAACAAGTCTATGATTCTATGATTTCCTACATCTATGTCTTGGTACATTCTTCTTTTTGGTAAACTGAACAAATGAACTCATTAAAT